CCTGCCACTATGTTTTCAAAGGTGCATCATCAAAAGTGATTACTTCCCCCTACCAGTCAGAGATTGCCAAACTCAGAATGGAACGTCTTCGTATTGAGGAAGACAGACTACTGGAGTTGAAACGTCATGAAGAAATTGAACGGATTCGAGGACCAAATCATCGATGGTGATTATTAAAGAATTTCTCAAAACTAAATAAAAACAGATCAATCGAACCTACATATCTGTATCATTTGTTATCTATAAGCAAGATATTGTTAGCTACACACTCATTCTCAATACCAGTGGCCATATCTGATTTCTCATTGACCAAGAAAAATAATCAAAATAACAACACACAGGCCAATGACAGGAAGTTGTATTCTTGTAAAGGTTAAAACTTATTTACCCTTTTGTGCCCCATGCATCCCTCTGCCTCAGGGGGATAACACCCTCCAATGAAATACATTTCTTGGTCCAGTGATTATGTATTACAATTTGAGTTTAAATATCTTCAGCTATTCAGGACCAGTATTCTTTTGAATAAAAACTTAATGAAACACTGTATGACATATACATAAAACCATAGCATAAAGACTCACTTCGCCCTGCAAACCAGATGTGCTAAGAAAACAATTACATGTGTATATTAAATTCTGCAAATCTTGAGTTAACTACAAATCAATATTCCTTTAAAGTAAAATATATATATGATGAAGATATGTTATATCATGTCTTGATATTCATTTTGATATTGTATGACTTTCAGGTACGAGTCTAAAGGTCCTGACTTTCATTACGAGTGTAGTAAAAATACAGAAATGATGAAACATGAAGACCACTGGGAAGAGTTGGTGGATTATCGAAACAATCTGATGGAATGTTCAACAGCTTTCAGGAAGTCGTATGGAGCATTTGCCTAACAGGTCTTTCTGTTTTCCATGTGAACTATGTAGTCTGTTTGTCAATTGAGGTCACCGACATGGGAAATTCAGACTAGATGAATATTATCTATATAATGACTTTCCATTTCTAAAATACAGAACATAACAACTGAATACCTGGTGAAACTTAGTGTTTATTCAAGCTGACAATATTGTAGTTTTAAAGAACGGATATATACATTTTACTTCAAAAAGAAAAGGTTTCATTCAGTCAATATTTCACGAAAAGAGCTGACACCATTATGTTACAAATAGTGAGAAGTTTTACTGAATTATGAAGTTGTAAAAATAGGAAATATATCATACCTGGTCATGCATTACTGCTTTTGTTATGGATGCTATTTGCTTGTAGTTTTTTTTGTGTTCTTATTTGTATATTTATTGCATTAATGTCTTGACATTATAATGTCTTTTACTATCAGTTCATTTTTGTGTGTGTTTATCTTGTTCTAAGTGTCTACAGGACTGTGTTTCCACAATTCCACACAAAGAAATAGGTACAATATCTTTATGAATCATAATTGTCTGGTTATAAATAATAGATAATGCTTATTAAAATCCTACAGGGTAAGATAACTCTGGCTATAAATAAGAGATAAATGCATATACAATTTGTGTTGGGAAAGATAACTCTGGTTATAAATTATAGATGTTGGTTATTAAAATTGTGTTTGGGGAAGGTACTATTAAATGAATCACAACAGTATGAGAGGTACAATATGGTATATTTTCGAAATTTACCTGACAAATAATTTTAATTATATTCCATTTACATGTACAATATTATGCTTGTCATATATATGCGAAGTATTATAGTGATGTTTTTAAAGTTAATATATTTATATGTAGTGATAAAATGTATTTTTGCAATATGTGTAAGACACAAAATAGCAAAGCTGTGATATAAATATGTAAAAATGATTTAACACAATAAATTTAATTGTTAAGTTTTAAAGCCTCGTCACATAATGATGCACACTCATACAAACTATGTATGTGTTTTATACCAATGTGTCAATCGTGGTTGACTGAACCCCACACTATGTTGTCAAGCTGAAGGTTTCCAGTAACGGAACATGCATCCACCCAATAATATATTATGGAATAGTGAAAGGGTCTATCAGTTAAAAGAATTCTTTGTATAATGACTATAAATATGGATAAATATGTTTTTTTGTATATTAAAATAGGGTTTTTGTGAATTTACATTCTGTGACAGAAAAAAACCAATTATGCAAATCTTAGTGTGTTTCCATACACATATAATTTGTAATTGACAATTAATAACAGGGCAGCATATTCCTATAGCATTGAACTCAGAAATATACATTTTTTATTGTACATGTTTTGAAGTGATTATTGAAAAAAACTACAAATGAAATGTACACGATCTGTTTTGGGAATGAATAAATTTGTTTGGATATAAAGTGAATGATTTTTTTATCATAATGTATACGGTACATCATGTGTGAAGAATCAGTGCAATGGTAGATTGCTTCATCAATTATCAATTTGACCAATAACTCATTGAACTGATCCTCTAATATATGTCAAGTGTTGAATCTCAGGGTGAATCATTAGTTTTACCTGTTGGAAAAGTACTGTTTAGTATTCATTAGTGTGTAAGTTTTGTGATCCCAAATGTACATTGTGCAACAATGACAGAAGCTTTAGCAAATAACAATGAAAATATTTATATTGTCCTTTAAATTTCATAGTACCAATACACTGTAATTGTGTATTCTGTCACGGAAATAATATGATATATGCCCTTAAAAAAGAAAAGAAAGCATTTTTTTTCTCTCAATAAAGTTGGTGTACACTTTAAATATGCATAATATGCAGCCTTGTTCAGACTTTCTATTGCTTTCTATTTTCAAATACTAGTATTATTCAGGACGTTATGGTGAGGAGAGGGTCAGGAGAAAAATTGTCTGAAATAAAAAATGTTACAGATTAATACAACCAGTAATTTGTCAAATTTTGATAAAAAAACAGAATATGTTTCCCCCTGCAATGCTCAGTTACCTAAGCTTTACAAGTGCTAGATGTTACATTCCAGTATTTTTATTTTTTGATCATGTTGCATGCATGCTGATGCCAGTTATAATTAACACTTGCTTATAGTAACCTTGTTGTAGATTAAACAGAAAGGAAAATAAATAATTGCACATTATAGGTGTTATTGTTATTCATCAGACACTTATAACATGTCCCAGCCTTTACTTTCTTGTTATTACGGATACAAAGATGAATCTCCAGACACAATAGCATCACTATTCACTACCATATGTATCCTATACCTATATACTATCTTCTGATACTTCACACAAGGTTAGTGTCGCTGCAGTGGCAGATCAAGGGGGTTTGGAGGGCTTCAGGAAATTCATACAACTTGCCGATTTCTTGGGGGAAAATGGATTTTTCTCATTTTGAAATTGCTTAGACATTTGGAAACCTCCAATATCAAGTTCAGTTTCTGTTATGTCACTGTGAAAGGACTTCTGTTTATCCAGGGTTTTGCATCCTCGTACCGGCTATGATTATATGAAGATAATTTGACTACTTTAAAATATCAAAATCTGGACACCAAAGCATGACAATGACACTCCATCCGGCCATATTATTCTGACAATGTGCTTACCAGAAGTGATA